GCTAGTAGGGTGGAGGCCATCGCTAGTAGGGTGGAGGCCATCGCTAGGCTAGTAGTCAGTAGGCGCTTTCGTTCATGTTTAGAACATGGATTCTTTTCTTGCTGACCATTGACCTTGCCAACGAGTGCAGTTTCCTCCGTGCCTCAAGCGAATTTGGATGCCGATCCAAGAACCCGCGTAGGTCGAAGAAGGCGCGGAACCCGCGGAGCATCTCGTGGACCTGGAGTAGCGCAACTCCCACGATTCCCACCGAGGACGGAGATGGGCGGAGACGGCACACCGAACAAAGGGTTCCACAGCTGGGTTCCAGATCGATCGAGGGGCTGCGAACGGAACGATCGGACGCTACCTACTAGGGCCTAGGGGCGAAACTGGCATCGGTATACGAACGGAGCGATCGGACGCGAACCGAACGGGGGTGTATTGCTTTTGGGTGGTGCTTAGCCAAACCACAGCTGCTTTTCAGTCCCGTCATCTGGCGTTTTGCTGGTTCAGAATCCATCCCTCCGCCCCCCACGCGTTCGCAGTTCTGACCCCTGCCGTCCGCTGGGTTCAGATCGTGGCGATCCGACTCTCAGATGGATCCTTGAAGGAGCTCTACCAGACGCTCCAGGAGCACATCTGTGATCGGCACGTCATGGGCTGCAGCATCGCAGGGAACTCGGCAGGTGGGACGGACTGGGTGTGACGGTTCACGGGGCATGGCTGTGACGGGGCAACCGGTCAGGTGGTCCTAGTTTTGACTCACAGCCATTGGGTGGTCTGTGGGATCTGCAGATGGCCAGACCTGTTTGGCCATCTGAACCGAAGTGTTGTGCTGTGATTTTTCATCGAGGATTCAGCAGAAACTGTGGTGTTCGAGCGTCGGTTTTTTCCATGTTTTCTTTTGGCTTTCAAAGGAGGTCATTGGAGTGGTTGATGCGGGAGTCAGCTCTGTTGACGCCCTTCCCAACAGAGCTGGGAACTCCTTCCATCCCACCCAGTCCTTCCATGCCACCCAGTCGCCCACCTCGCGCAGACCCCGCGCAGACCCGCGAGCCATGTTTTTGTTGTGCGCTCTCTGTGCAGGTGCTGAGGGTGCCAAGGGCAATGGCTTATACACCAACCACGCCTATTCTTTGCTGAAGATCATCCCAGAAAGCCTGGATGATGGCTCACCCATCCGGCCCTTGGGAGCTCCGAACAGTGGATGGGGCGGGTGTTTCAACGTGGGGCTACCAGGTGCTGGGGAGGGGGCCTGGGGAGGGGCTAATGAGGCTGGTGGTGTGACAGAGAGCACGTTTCACAAGGGTTGAGGTTTTATTCACGTTGGCTCTCTGGGATGGCCTGTACCCTGTGGGCCCAAAGGAGCCTTGACCAGGTATCCCAATGGATCATTGGATCCTCCTTTCTGGTGCCACTCCTGAGCATGCTATCCCAACTCTTTTGGACCGAGGCTGGTGAAGCTTCGAAACCCCTGGGGCAACAGTGAGTGGAAAGGCGATTGGTGCGAGCCTTGGACAAAAAGGGTTTCGGCGGATATGAAGGGGTCCGTTTTTGCTCTCACAGCCAAGCTTGGAAGTGCAGTCATCCAAGAATCGACCACATCGCTATTGGGTTGGAGGCCATCGCTAGTAGGTTGGAGGCCATTGCTAGTATGAGCAAGCGTATTTCCTGCCAATTCTATTGCCAGTGGTGAGTCATCATTCGATGACAGCCCAGATCCTTTGTTCCGACAAATGCTTTTCAGACGTCAGGAAAAATTGGGACTGTAATGGTTTGTATAGACCCCCAAATAGATACTGTAGGAAAAGTAAAAGTAGACCCCCAGCAAAAATGTGTTAGACACCGTGCCACGTCACTATCCAGTTGGGTGCAAACAACTTTGTGATGCAGCATGGCAGCAGGATTCGCACTATGCGCAGCGGTGGCTGCGGCCAATTCTGATGGAGGGACCAACAAAGGAAGATGACCCACGGGAACCTACACTGCCCAAGGTTGAGAGATGCATTCTTTTTCCCCAAACAGTTTACTGTTGGGGTTCTATCTTAGAAAAAAGAGCTGACCACACTGACTGGCCGCGCCCCTGAACTCTGTGGCCGGGCTCTGTGGCCGGGTCTTGTCCTCCTCTTGTCTTCTCTTGTCCTGCTCTTCTCTTGTCTTCTCTTGTGGCCGAACAGTTAGCGATGTCGATGCCGACAAAAGTCAAGGCAATGGGCTAGGTAGGGCATACCAAGAAATCGTTTTTGATTAACAACGAATCGATTGAAACGTTTGGGGTCTATGCTGGTATAATTTGACACTTCAGATGCCCAGAGGTCAGCTTCTTCACCCGGAAGACACCCCGCAAAGCACGCTTTTCACTCGGCACCGCGCCCGTCGTCGCTGAGCTCGACCCCTACCGCGGCTGGCGAGCTGGTCGGACGTCCCTGCGGCTCGAGGACTTCGCGGGCTTCGAGACCTCCGAGCCGTCGGCGAAGTGGGCGGAGAACCCGCAGCTGGCCGAGCGCCTGGCGGTACAGAAGGGACGCGCCCCGGCGGTGGGGTAGAAGGGCGTGGGGTGTCCTTGGCACAGAAGTATTGGAACCCGGTCTTCCATTGGGTGCAGGGGGCTTAAGGCATGATGCATGGATTCATGTCATCCTCCGCACATCCTCCCCATCAGCACCAGAGTTTCGTATTCCCCTTTAGGTTGTACCCGATGTACACTCATCTGGGACACCGGGTGTCCGACGCTGATACGTCCACCCGTCGGGCGCTGCAGGCAATGACGGCGCCTTCTACATGACCTTCGAGGATTGGGCACAGTGGTTCAGCAATGCGACTGGGCCGTCGCGCGGGAATCGTGGCTGGGGTGATGGCAGAGACATGACCAGCTGCAGAAGACACTGCTTTAAAGGGTTGAACTTTCAGAGAAGAAGGGACTTATTGCTATTATATAGGTTGGAGGCCATTGCTACTAGGTTGGAGGCCATAGCTTTCAGAGCAGAAGGGACTTGTGCATTGCAGATTGGTGAGGAAGATCCGCAGTGGCGAATCATGTTCATCCTCATGGGGTGTTTGGTTCAAAACCTACCACCGCAAGAAACGGATCATAATTAGCATGAACCACCATTGAATGTGCAAAAAATCCTAGAGAAGTTCTCTGCGCACGGAAGAGATGGGTTTGTCATTGGATCGCAGTTGGATGAAAAAGGGCGATTCCACACACAAACACAAACACTCACATGCGGCATGTTTTTGTTTCTTCCAAACACAAGACTGGGCCGCCCAATAACCCGGTCTTTTTGCCACATGAATTTCTTCAAGACCTCCAAGTTGTCGGATCACATCTCACATCATCCCTCACCTTTTGAGGTGACCTTGTGCCCAGTGGGGGTCAAAGAGATTCCTCCAGAAAATGCTGCCCGGTGGCCGGACGCGGGCGATGGGCGATGGTTTTGAAGACCTTGGTACCCCGTTTGGCATGTCAACCTACTAGCAATGGCCAACCTACTAGCGATGGCCTCCGACCTATGTATAGAAACTACTAGGAACAAGTGCATCGCTTCTAGTAACAAGTGTCTTACTACTAGGAACAAGAAGCTACTAGGAACAAGTGTATAGAAACAATATTGTTTCATTCACTGGTGGCTGATGGATGCTGATTTCGTCACGTCTCGGTCGGAGAACTTGGGCGAGAACGGGGCCGGATCCTCCAGAGTCCTACAAAAAGAAACAAACAGAACGAGATGCTCTTTTTACAACTGCAGATTGGAGAGGAGGATCCTCTTCCAGAAGCTCTTCTTGCTTGCACCGACTTTGGGTGCACACGTGCACCTAAACACCTCCACCCTGAAACACCCCCCAAAACACGGCCCGAACGGGCCGAACACGGCCACATGCACATCCGATCGTCCAGCGGCATCCGGATGCCCAGGATGAGCCGGATGCCGAGGAAGATGGGAACCACGACGTGGAGGAATACGTGTCCTCCGACATCGAAAGCTGACCGGCCCTGTTTTCGCCTCGCTCTGGAGAACGGAGAAGTCGGACAAAGCGCCGGAGATTCCGTTTTCTTTGAACCTAATAGCGATGGCCTCCAACCCAATAGGGATGGCCTCCATACTGCTACAAGCGATGGCCTCCAACCTTATAATTGCGATAGCCTCCAACAGTATAATTGGGATGGCCTCCAACAGTATAATTGCGATGGCCTCCAACCTTATAAAAGCGATGGCCTCCAACCTAATAGCCATGGCCTCCAACCTTAAAAAAGCGATGGCCTCCAACCTAATAGCCATGGCCTCCAACCTACTAGTGATGGCCTCCACCCTACTAGCAATTGCCTCCAACCTACCAGCGATGGCCTCCAACCTATTGGCGATGGCCTCCAACCTACTAGCCATGGCCTCCAACTTACCAGCGATGGCCTCCAACCTACTAGCCATGGCCTCCAACCTTATAAAAGCGATGGCCTCCAACCTAATAGCCATGGCCTCCAACCTACTAGTGATGGCCTCCACCCTACTAGCAATTGCCTCCAACCTACCAGCGATGGCCTCCAACCTATTGGCGATGGCCTCCAACCTACTAGCCATGGCCTCCAACTTACCAGCGATGGCCTCCAACCTACTAGCCATGGCCTCCAACCTTATAAAAGCGATGGCCTCCAACCTAATAGCCATGGCCTCCAACCTACTAGTGATGGCCTCCACCTTACTACTGTAGCAATTGCCTCCAACCTACCAGCGACGGCCTCCAACCTATTGGCGATGGCCTCCAACCTACTAGCGATGGCCTCCACCCTACTAGCGATGGCCTCCAACTTACCAGCGATGGCCTCCGGCCTCCAACCTTATAAAAGTATGGCCTCCAACCTAATAGCCATGGCCTCCACCTCCAACCTACTAGCGATGGCCTCCAACCTACTAGGGATGGCCTCCAACCTACTAGTCATGGCCTCCAACCTACCAGCGATGGCCTCCAACCTACTAGCCAGGGCCTCCAACCTATGCCTTCAACCTAATAGCGATGGCCTCGAACCTAATAGCGATGGCCTCCACCCTAGCGATGGCCTCCAACCTACTAGCGATGGCCTCCAATAGCGATGGCCTCCAACCAAATACGGATAGTAGCGATGGCCTCCATACTGTTTCAAGCGATGACCTCCACCCTAGTAATGACCTCCAACCTACTAGGGATGGGCTTCCAACCTACTAGTGATGGCCTCCAACCCTATAATAGCGATGGCCTCCAACCTTATAATAGCGATGGCCTCCAACCTTATAATAGCGATGGCCTCCAACCTTGTAGCGATGGCCTCCAACCTTATAATAGCGATGGCCTCCACCCTTATGGTAGCATATGAATAACAATGTCTAACGTGGCCCCGCGAAGTCACATCATCTATCAAATAGACCATTTATGACTTGGACCCACCAAGTCACATATGAATAACATTGTCTGACTTGGACCCACCTCGTCACAAATGAATAACCTTGGCTGACTTGGACCCACCAAGTCACATCTATTAAATAGACCATTTATGACTTTGACCCACCAAGTCACATTTATTAAATAGACCATTTATGACTTGGACCAAGTCACATATGAATAGCATTGTCTGACTTGGACCCTTCAAGTCACTTCTCTTAAACACACCATTTATGACTTGGACCCACCCAGTCACATGTAAACCAACTGTCTATGACTTGGACCCACCAAGTTACATATGAATAACATTGTCTGACTTGGACCCACCAAGTCACATCTATTAATAAACGATTTATGACTCGGACCCACCAAGTCACATCCAAACAACCCATTTATGACTTGGACCCACCAAGTCACATCTGAATAACATTGTCTGACTTGGACCCACCAAGTCACATCTATTAAACAAACCAAATAAACCATTTTTGACTTGGACCCACCAAGTCACATCTGAATAAGTAGACCAAAAGTCACATCTAAATAAACCGTTTTTGACTTGGACCCACCAAGTCACATATGAATATCATTGTCTGACTTGGACCCACCAAGTCACATCTTTTAAATAAACCATTTACGACTTGGACCCACCAAGTTACATCTGAATAAGTATCCCCAAAGTCACATCTATCAAGAAGACTTGGACCCACCAAGTCACATATGAATAACATTGTCTGA